TCAGGGGTTTGAGCAGGCCACTTCATTACCTCAATCTTTTTCTGCCTTAAATCAAAATATTGTCAACATTTTTTTAGTAGTGAAAAATTAGAACGATCACATTGCCTTAATTCATTTTATCTGCTGGCAGACCAAAAAATTGACAAATTTCGAATTCATCCTCCACAAAAAAAATCTCACTGATTCGCCTTCAGCAGCTAACAGTAATGATCCATGCATACTGGACCTAGATGAGGAAGCTCCAAACATTTCTGGTTGCAGCGCTAGCGATACTAGAAACACAAAATGCAGGAAATACCAAGATAGTTCCCTTAACTATGGTTTTATTCGATTTTCTTGAAGCAAAGAGTCCCTAACCCAGCCACAGTGCATTATCTGCGCCAAAGTTCTTGCTAACGATGCTAACGAAAGCATGAGGACGTCCAAATTAATAAGACATTTACACTCATCCCCAATACCACGACAAGCCAAGAGCGTTTCATTGAGCACAAGGTAAAAGAATTGACACACATCCAAAATGAGATGAGGGAAGTCACAACTACTGACAAGAAACCTTTAAAAAATTGGCAACTAATTGGTAACTAATATAGAGCCAATTTAAAGGCCAAAGGCTTCCTTTTTCAGTTACAAATCAGCTACTGGTGTTTTGCTTTTATATTTTACATTAGGCTACTATTTGTGCATAAACTATATCTAGACATAGTAATAAACATACCATTTGTTTGGAAACTAATTTTTTTGTCATCCCTGCAAACTTATACAAGCGGTAATATCAATAAATGTGGAAGAGGGCCTTACAATATTTTCATAGGGGAAAAGGGGATCTCAAGCAAAAAAAAAAAAAGGTTGGAAACCACTGGCATAGAGGAACATTATCTCCTCGGGTATTTAGATGTAAAAAATTAAACAGGTATTGTGACTTCATCAAACATTTTTTTCTAAAAGAATTTTTACTACTTATTTAAACAACCCAAGCTCATTCTGGAAACGTAGCCCTGCGGATGTTTCTGGAGACTGCGATTTACGTGGACTGAGGTACATATGGCCGCGTTTTGTTTTTTTCGAGCGAACGCTAGGGGGCAGTGTGACGCCGCTCCTCCTCTTCGTGCTCGCCGGCTGACGGCTCACCTCTGTCTGGAGGGCTTTCCTGATGCAACCAGTTTGTCCGCTTAGCTCTCAGTGTTACCTCGGCGGAGCGGAGGCCTGAAGGAGGAGGAGCCGGCCACGGGGACGACCGGGATCGAGTCCGGGGAAGAGCGGTTCCAGAAATCAGGTAAGATGAAAAACAGAATCCAAAAAATAAGGACGAGAACGTGGCGAGATCTGAAAACGTGGTCAAAATCGGACAAGGGCTTTTGCTTTTTTTTCTGGACGGCTTTTGCAAATTGTCGCTTTGGTTTAGAGAAGAAAGAGGAGGAGTAAGAGGAAGGCAGCTGGGTCTGCCAATTGGCCGGCCGCCCGGTCGATCGTTCAGTCGTTCAGCCAGTCAGTCGGACGGACGGTCGCTCCACAGCGACCTCTGGCGGCTTTTCACGCGAGAACAGCGCGGGCGCGAACGGCGCACGCTCCCGAGAGGCATTCGAAACGCAGAAAAGCGCGCACAGCGGCCTCTCGCGAATTCGCGAAAACAAAAACTGCTCGAATACGTACCTCCCGGGACGTATTTCGCGGTCTGCAGAAACGTCTGCAGGGCTACGTTTCCACAATGAGCCCGGGTTGCATTTAAAATAAGCTGAAACAACACAATTCTTGAGTTTTTTTTGGCGACAACGTAAATCTTTTATCCTCAATCCACTTAAATTTGTAAAGACATGTGAACTTAATCGATTTGTGTTGGGAAAACATGAAGGAATTGTGTGGAACCCAGCATCTTTTACATTCGCGTGGGAAATTTATGCAAATTTGTGAATGTTTAATTAGCATATTTATATATAACTTGAAAAACACACACACACACACACACACACACACACACACACACACACACACACACACAAAGTTATTAAGCTATAAGTAAGCGATTCCCAATCTAATCAATCAACTAGTGAAATCCTCTAATAATTTTTTATCGAATATTTCAGCCTGCAATGTCTGCTCTTAATCTGCTCTAATCAGCGCTCCTGCAGACTCCGCTGTGTGTTTTAGGATCAGAGGGTCACAGGCCTCCCTCGGACCGAGTCCCTTTGAGCACAGCGAGGAGGATCATGTCCTGAATGGAGCTTGATTTGGCTTTAACAGGGGGCTTTAAGTGTGAATGAATATACATTAGGGGCGAGGGGCCCGCGGGAGGCCTGTGAATGATGGGAAGGTGGAGGCGGGACGGGTGAGGGTCAGTACAGAGGAGGGGTGTGCCACGTCCCCCTGCAGGAGCCCGGAGCAGTTAATTGGGGGGTTTGTTGTCCTGCAATGAGACGCGAGAGGAGATCTAAGTGTCCCATGCTGACGGGACCGTTCACAGATACAGACAGTACAACTGCATGCCTACTGGGTTTCAGTGTGTGAACTAACACACACACACACACACACACAAAAACACACACACTGAGAATTTGATTTATTCATTAATTTTTTGTTGTCGGCTTCATCCCTTTAATTATCCAGGGTTGCCACAGCGGAATGAACTGCCAACTTATCCAGCAAGTTTTTACGCAGCGGATGCCCTTCCAACCGCAACCCATCTCTGGAAAACATCCACACACACATTCACATTCACACACACACTCATACACTACGGACAATTTAGCCTACCCAATTCACCTGTACCGCATGTCTTTGGACTGTGGGGGAAACCGCAGCACCCGGAGGAAACCCATGCGAAGGCAGGGAGAACATGCAACCTCCACACAGAAACGCCAATGAGCCAAGATTCAAACCAGCGATCCAGCGACTGTGAGGCGACAGCACTACCTACTTCGCCACTGCCTCGCCATATGATTTATGTGCTGATCAATATTATATTATATTATATTTATTATTATTATTAGTGTTCTAATAGTTTTCCCTGTATATGCCTATTTTAGTACATTATACATGCTTTTATCTTCACTTTTGGATCTAATTCATCCATCCCTGCTGAATAAAAACAATGACCACTAATTTCTCTGAAAAATGATAAAAACAACAACATGTCGTTAATTTATCATATTGATCTAGCCTTTGACATCCAGCTGTGTGTTTGATGAGATAGACGTGTGGTCTGATTGACCTCAGACAAGCTCAGGTCATGACCTTTAGTCCCACTGTCAGTCTATGAGGTCACCGGCCAGAAGAGCTGAATCCTCAAGAGGATCCAAACACATTTTCACAGCAGAGCACACTTTCAGCACCATCTCCATTAATGGCTGTAAACCTGCCTGCTTTAAGACAATCATGATTATCTTTTAAAGTTTGTATAAATAGATTTTATATTAAAATAAGTTTTGCAACAATTTATTATAATTATTTATTTTTATTTATCATACATTTACATTTATTTACCAAGCAGACACTTTTATTTAAACTGACTTACAATACTACAAAAGTTTATATTATTTTTATTATACGATTTATTTAATATTTTATTAAAATATTTAGGTAATAGTACTTCTATTAATTCAGAGTACTTATTTAATATTATTACTGGTATTGCTAATAATTATCACTGCAAATATATTTTTTAATTTTTAGACTTAAGAAGCAGTAATAATAATAATAATAATAATAATAATAATAATAATAATAATAATAAACAACAACAACAACAACTAGAACTAAAATCAATATTTAAAAAACAATTGTACAACTACAACTGCTTTAATAATAAAAGCAGTAATTCATATTTTATTAAAGAATAAAATTAAAATTAGTATTACATATATGACAATTGTCATTACTTAATAATAATATTAACTTTCTGAAAATATTTTAATATATACCAATAACATAGTATTACTGTTGCTAATTATTAATATTATTTTTAACTATTAGCATTAATAATAAAAGCAACAACAACAACAACAACACTTGGTGATATTGTTGCCAAAATCTATTATCGTTAATTAGTATTTTTGTTAGAAAATGTCAAGATAGTCATTTATTATTATTAATACCAATAATTATAATCAAAATAATAATAACAACAACTTGGTGAAATTGTTGGCAAAAAACTAATATTATTATTTAATTAATATTATTTAAAAATATATATTCAATAATGTCATTTCTTATTTATTAACAGCATTTATGATTATTATTATTATTATTATTATTGATAATAATAACAACCATAATAATATCCACTTGGTAATATTGCTGCCAAAATCTACTTTCATTATTTAATTAATATTATTCAACAATGTTAAGATTAGCATTTATTATTTTATATTATTATTATTATTAAAAATAAAACAACAATAATAATAACAACTTGATAAAATTGTTGTCAAAAATAATATTATTATTTAATTAATATTATTTAAGAATTCTATTCAATAAAGTCAAGATTAGCATTTATTATTATTATTATTAATAAAAACAACAACAACAACAATAATAACTTGTTGCCAAAAACTAATATTATTATTTATTTATCATTATTTATAATTCAGTGGGAAAAAAGAGCAAACTAATCAGATGTAAGATTGAGTTCAATCGTTTAATCTGACATAATAAGCAAACCAATATTAATTATTAATTATAAATGTATTAATAAACTCAATTTATTAATAAATAGTAATAATAATAACAACAACAACAACAACTACTTGTTGATATTGTTGCTAAAGTCTAATATTATTATTTAATAAATATTATAATTATTATTATTATTATTTATAATTATAATAATAATGACTAGGTGAAATTGTTGCCAATAAGTAAAAGCTAATATTATTATATAATAACAATACTTTTTTTTTAGAATGTCAACATTAGCATTTATTAAAAATATCAATACGATTAATAAAAGTAATAACAATGATAATAGATTGTGAGTGGAAAAAAAATGTAATCAGATGTAAGAATCAATTCAATCCATTAATCTAACATAAAAAAACATTAATACTTATAAATTTATTAATTTGTTTATTAATAAACTTCAATATTAACTTCTTTTTTTAAACCATCTTAAAATAAAGTGAACATGCTGACAGATCTAAAACAAATCAATGTGTATGTTACATTATAAGGAAGAGCAAGGGAATATGTACAGACAGATATTATTGCACACTGCTGCTATGGTTTACTCAATGATAATAAAACCACAAACATCTGATTTAGAGAAATGATGCTCATAAAAACACATAAATAGACATTAAATATAGAGATGTGGTCAGTGTGCACATATAAAATCCATACCTTCACACCCTATAAAACAATATTAATGACATGACAATGATCGAACAGCAGCTGTAATAATAAACAGCTGTCAAAAATGGATTTCATTAAAGTTTAGAGTTCAGAGGTTTGGAGGTTGTGTTTCTCCTCAATCAGATTGGCCTGAAAATCTTGCTTATATACAAACACACTGTGTGAATATTTGCAGGATAAAACACATATGTTTAGTCTGTGATGGTGTGTTGATTATGGTCGGTGGTTTAGTAGTTTAGTTAGTTGTTTTTGGCCGGTGTGGAAGCTGATTGTGTTGTTTTTGGCCGATGGTTTAGTAGTTTAGTTGTGCTGTTTTTGGCCGGCGGTGTAGTCAGTTGTGTTGTTTTAGGCCAGTTGTATTGTTTTAGGCCAGTGGTGTTGTTTTTGGCTGGTGGTGTAGTTAGTTGTGTTGTCTCTGACCTCTCTCCGCTGATCTTCAGTTTCACGGCTGTTCTGCAAAGTTGGTCTCTCTCCTGCAAGAGAAAGCAGCAGCTGTTACTTTAAGCTCTCACTCAAAGTAAACTTATTTGATCACCAAGCGCCACCTGGTGGTCTTCTGATCTCAAGATCTTAGGAAAATACTGTACAACATTTATGTTTTTATTCCTTTTTATATTATTATACTTCACATACATCAATTATGCTTACATTATTATTATTTTTTAAATAACAGGTAAATTAAAATGTACGTAATCATAACATATTGTCATTTTATTAAGTGCTAAATAAAATACTACAACATAAATGCCCAAACTAGGGCCCATGGGCCAAAGTTAGTCCATGGTAACCTTTGTTTTGGCCCACCATCCTATCTGAAAAGAGATGAGAATGATGTGGAGGTGTTTGGGGCGAATTCCTTTGATCGATCGTTGCTTCGATTTTAACGTAACTCTTTGTTTGTTTGTTTCATTGCTGAGCTAAAAACACCAATAAAAATGAAAAGATTCTATTAAATGTAGTAAATGAATCAGACTTTTAAAATGTAAAAACCGTCAACTTGTCAGAAAGCAATGCACAAGACATCGGCGAGCAAATCAAGGCAAAGGAAGGCTCACTGAACTCCATTGTGTTAATAATGAGATTGTTCATGTTTTTACTGTAATAATTTGCAAAATTATACTTTTTAGGCTTTTTATTGTTAATAAATTTGCAACAATTTAAAAAAAATCTTTTTTCACAATGTCATTATGGGGTATTGTGTGGAGAATTTTGAAGAAATAAATACATTTAATCCATTTTGGAATAAGGCTGTAACATAAATTATGTGGAAAAGTGAAGCGCTATGAATATTTTCCGGATGCACTGCATCTTTGGCCCACATTCCTTAACTCAAGCTTGGCCCTTTTTGGCCCTTTATAAGAAAAAAATTGGCTTTTATTTTATCTTTGCCATGATGACAGTATGTAATATTTGACTAGATATTTTTCAAGAAACTTCTATACAGCTTGAAGCGACATTTAAAGGCTTAACTAGGTTAATTAGGTTAACTAGGCAGATTAGAGTAATTAGGGAATTATTGTATAACAATGGTTTGACTATTGAAAAAAAATATAGCTTAAAAGCGCTGATAATATTGACCTTAAAATTGTGTTTAAAAAATTTAAATCAGCTTTTATTCTAGCTGAAATAAAACAAATACATCTTTCTACAGAAGAAAAAATATTATCAGACATACTGTGAAAATTCCCTTGCTCTGTTAAATATAATTTGGGAAATATATAAAAAAGAAAAAAATTAAAGGGGGGCTAATAATTCAGACTTGAAGGTGTAGAAAAAAAATCACATAATATAAAATGCAATCTATTTTCCAGTTTTTAGAGCATAATTTTCTATTTTCTAATATTATCTTTTGCATTAATTTTTTCTATAATGATATAAAATAAATATAAGATTAAAACAATAATCTTTGTTGCTATTATTAATACTACTACTAAATGACTATTACGATTACAAGAAAATATATAGTTAGTCTCAGGTCATCCTCAAGTGATTTTAAACCTTTAAGTTTCCTTTTTTTCTGATGGACACAAAAGGAGATAATTTGAAAAATGTTAGAGAATGAGTAAATGATGAATATGTAAAATATGTAAATGTTTAATATTAAACACGTCAATGCTGCAGTTACTCTACTGCGCCCCCTGCAGGATATATTTCTGTAGGACAGCGAACAGTTAATTTACACAGAACTGTTGATTCAAAGAACTGGAGAAACAAAAGCTGAAGATCTGATCTTGTCATAGTTTAAAAAATGTTTTTTTACTCACATCTCCTCATGTTTGTTGTTGGGGATCATGTGGTTGTTGTAGGATAAGACGGGAGGAATAATGCTCTCTTCATCCTCAGGAACCTACAATTTAAAGAAAGTTATAAAAATATATTTATTATCTCTCTCACTTTCTCTCTCTCTCTCTCTCTCTCTCTCTCTCTCTCTCTCTCTATCTCTCTCACACACACACACATATGAAAAACACATATGAAAATACTATCAACAACACAAGTTATATTATTTTTTTATACATTTTCAATCTAATTATTATTATTATTATTATTACTTCCAAAAATTGTTATTATTAAATGTGAAACTTTTTTTATTTGTATTATTATTATTATTATTATTATTATTATTATTATTATTATTATTATTATTGCTGTTTTGTTTATTATTATTATTACTATTATTATTATTATTATCATTGTTATTATTATTATTATCGTCATTATTATTATTATCAATATCATTATTATTATTATCATATATTATCATTAGCATCATTATTATTATTATCATTATTATTATTATTATCGTTGTTATTATTATTATTGTCATTATTATTATTATTATTATTATCATTGTTATTATTATTATTATCATTATTATTATTATTTATTCATTAATTTTCTTGTCGGCTTAGTCCCTTTATTAATCCGGGGTCGCCACAGCGGACTGAACCGCCAACTTATCCAGCAAGTTTTTACGCAGCGGATGCCTTTCCAGTCGCAACCCATCTCTGGGAAACATCCACACACACGCATATTCACACACACACACACACACACACACACACACACACACACACACACACACACACACACACACACACACACACACACACACACACACACACAGACACACACACACACACACATTCACTCATACACTACGGACAATTTAGCCTACCCAATTCACCTGGACCGATTGTCTTTGGACTGTGGAGGAAACCGGAGCACCTGGAGGAAACCCACGCAAATGCAGGGAGAACATGCAAACTCCACACAGAAACGCCAACTGAGCCGAGCCTCAAACCAGCGACCCAGCGACCTTCTTGCAGTGAGGCGAGCGTGCTACTCACCGCACCACTGAGTCGCCTATTATTATCATCATTATCATTATTATTATTATTATTATTATTATTATTATCATTATTATTATTATTATTATTATTATTATTATTATTATCATCATTATTATTATTATTATTATTATTATTATCATCATCATTATTATCATTATCGTTATTATTATTATTATTATTATTATTATTATTATCATCATCATTATTATCATTATCGTTATTATTATTATTATTATCATTATCGTTATTATTATTATCATTATTATTATCGTTATTATTATTATCGTTATTATTATTATCATTATTATCACTATTATTATAATTAATATTATTATCATTATTATTGTTGTTGTTATTATTATCATTATTATTATTATTGATATATTCGTTATCGTTGTTATTATTATTATTATTATTATTATTATTATTATTATTATGTTTCTTATTATTATCATTATTATCAAATATGAATTGTTGAAAGCAGTGCTCTGACCTCCCAGTACATCTCATCATTGAAGCAGTGTTCATCAGCTGGATCACCCCAGATGGGCAGTTTTAGGACCAGCCCTGAAAGTCAACAACACAGAAACATCAGCTTGATGAATGACAAACTTCCATTACAGTCCGACACACAATCCTCCTGCTGTTTACAGAGGGATTGCTCAAATATCTTCCCAGTTACATAAACACACCAACACAACACACTCTCGAAACACACACCTTCAGATGTGTACGGTGACTCACACAATATATACATAGATAAAGCTGCATGCACAACATGCACTTAATCAAAGTTCAATAGGTCTTTTACCGACAAACGTTCCTCCGCCGATGCCAAAACACAAGGCCACACACAGTGCCGCTGCCTGGTATCCACCCTGGACAGTTGGCAACCGTGTCACATTTGAGCCCTCAAAGGAAAAGATGTTTTCCAGACTAAAAAATAAATACACAAAGAAGTGAAAATTATGATTACAAAAACAACTTTGAATAATTGAATGAATGAATGAATGAATGAATGAATGAATGAATGAATGAATGAATGAATGAATTAATTAATTAATTAATTAATTAATTAATTAATTTGCTGATAAAGTATTCCAAAATTAAAAGTTTAAGGTTCCTTATTGATAAAATAAATAATGAAATAATAAAACAATTGTATGCATTTTTTTACATACAGTAAACTGTAATTTTTTTAAAGCTACTCTGGGATGGTCATTCATTTTTTTTGTAATGAATTTTTACAGCATAAGAAACAAAATGCATGCATTTACTGTACTAAACCCAACAACACAAAACTGTAGAGAGGCTTCAAATATAAGGGCAGAGCTGACACATCAAATAATGCAGTTTCTGTAATGTTAGCTGATGATAGTGTTTTTATTGTCAATGTGTTAACAGGCTAAATGTTTCTGTTAGAAGAAAACATGTGTTAGTGTTTTAAACAATTATTTCATTTTGAAACATGTTTAAAGTGTTTTGTTAGACATGGTGTATTGTGTTAGTTTATTATTGTATTTTGAAAAGAAGTTTAGATGTATAGTCTACATTATGTGATTGTGAGCATAAAATTAACTGTTTTGCCAATTGTGTGTTTTAGGTGTGTTGCTGCGTTACGAGTTTAGCAAACTTGTTAAATGTATTGAAATAACTGTCATAGCCATTGTAAAAAACTGTAATTAAACTATTATTATAAGTAAAATTATTATATTACTCTTGATAATATTATCAGTATTATTAAACATATTAAACCATAATTTAGACCATTATATTTAATACATTAATACATATTAATATTAGTATTAAAACCTATTTTTTTAATTCAGTACTGGAACAATGTTAATGTTATTATTATTTTTGTTGTTGTTGTTGTTATTATTATTATTATCATTATTATTGTTGCTATTATTTTATCATTATTATTATTATTATTGTTGTTGTTGTAATTATTATTATCATTATTATTATTGTTATTATCATTATTTTTACTATTGCTATTAATATTATTGTTGTTGTTGTTATTATTATTAATAATAAAAAGATTATTGTTATTATTATTGATTTATTACTATTAATAATAATAATAATAATGTTGTTTTGAGTATTATTACTGCTATACAATAATATTAGCTTTGCTAAACATTTAACAATCCTAACAGAAAACATCAATATTAGTGTCAATAAACCTCCACTATAGTAATCACTACAAAAGTAATGTATTGTTATAATAATAATAATAACAACAACAACAACAATTTATTTTTCTGCAAAATTAACATTAATGGACATATAAATATGATTTAAAAATACTATCAAAAATAAGTGTATTTAATAAGTATAATAAGTTTCTTATAAAAATAACATTGACTTAGTAATATATTATATTATATTATATTATATTATATTATTTTATATTATATTATATTATATTATATTATATTATATTATATTATATTATATTATATTATTTTATATTATATTATATTATATTATATTATATTATATTATATTATATTATACTATATTATATTATATTATATTATATTTTTTGGTTACACAAAATAACATTATCATTACTATTATTTCAGCAAAAGGGACTTTTCTATTTAAACATACATAGAAGAGGCAGAATTAGTTTTTCCCCAGTATACTGACCCTAAGTCTCCATAAACCTCTTTGCTGGCGGCAGCAGCTGAAATGGCGCCCACAATTCCCCCAATGACCCCTGGCATGGCATGCAGGTTATGAATGCCACAGGTGTCCTGAATCTTCAGCCTCTCCTCCAAAAAGGGCTGAAAAAACACAGAATACAGACCTGATGACAAATTCATTATAAAAGACTCAGCTATTGAAAGAATGTATAGCTGAAGTCCGAATTTAGCCCTCCTGTTAAATTTGAATTCTTTTATATTTTCCCCGGTTTCTGTTTAATGGACAGAAGATTTCTTTCAACACATTTCTAAACATAATAGTTTTAATAACTCATTTCTAAGAACTGATTTATTTTATCTTTGTTATGATGAAAGGACATAATATTTCACTAGATACTTTTTAAAATACTAGTATTTAGCTTAAAGTGCAATTTAAAGGCTTAACTAGGTTAATTAGGTTTACTAGGCAAGTGTAACGAATATGGCCTACCAGACACATAATTATTTAGCTTTTATTCAACAAATGAGCCAACTTTGCCCAGGGAAGACTCGATGGTCAGTTGTAACCTGATTCCAAGGTATTTATGACCCAAAGGAATGTGCCATGCAGCAATAACAAAGAACGGTTCAGGACTCCCATAAGCTCTTTGCTAAAGACTGATGTTTTAATGTAAACTTAAGTCTCTCTTTATGTGTAATCATGTGTTTTACAATGTTTCCCTTACTCCTGTATTAATAATATGGTTTTAACACTTCTGCATACAATGTTTAACTCTACTGAAGCTAAACAAGCTCATAAACCATTCATGTTTAGACTTGTTTTGAAGCTAATTTGCTTTACTGAATGATTGTTGACATTTTATGTTAATACGAGTGCAACATATTAACATTTTAAGAGACTTGAACATTTCTGCCTCCGTTTGCATTAAATTTGCCTATACAAATGCCTCTTCTTCGGACAAAGGGTCAAAAACCATGATTCAGGGAGGTTAGTTTCTAATTGGTCAACTTTCCATGGAGGGTGGATTTGAACCCTCCTTATAAAGCTTGTGTTCAAAGCAACGCCCACTCTCTTTAATTGCTCTCTCTTCAAATTTTAACAACTCTCTCTCTTAAACTGCAACCTCTCTGCTCTGCAACCCTCTTCAAACTCCATGCAACTTCTTCAGACAGAGCTCCTCTACAACTCTTCTTCTAAAAAGTAACTCTCTCTTCAACTCTTCGAGTCATAGCAACAACCTAAGAACGAGACCTAAGCAGAGAAACCTCCAAGAAAGCAGGCGAAGACCCAGATGGAAAGGGTTAATCGCATAGCTCAGACGTTCACATCTCAGATACCTTCTTTTTTTGTTTTCCATCGAGAGTCTAGTTAAGTTTAGTGCGTTGCAAACCAGTAGCTGCTTCAAACTTGAAATTAACGACTCCACCTCCACTCACAGCCTCGCAAGGACCAACCTGGCAACCCAACCCGGGCTCATTGTGGAAACGTAGCCCCGCGGACGTTTCTGCGGACCGCGATTTACGTCCCGGGAGGTACGTATTCGAGTGTTTTTTGTTTTCGCGGATCCGCGAGAGGCCGCTGTGCGCACTTTTTTGCATCTCGGGCGGGCGCCTCTCGGGAGCGTGCGGCGTTCGTGCCCGCGCCGTTCTTGCGCAAAAAGCGCCGGATCGAAAAAAAAAAAAAGCAAAAGCCCTCGTCTTCGATTTCGACCGCGTTTTCGGATCCCGCCGCGTTCTCGCCCTTATTTTTCGGATTCCGTTTTTCGTCTTACCTGATTTCCGGAACCTGCTGTTCCCCGGACTCGATCCCGGTCGTTGTCCACCGCGGCCGGCTACTCCTCCGGGGCCTTCGCTCCGCCGACGCAACGCTGTGAGCTAAGCGGACAAACTGATTGCATCGGGAACGCCCTCCACTCGGAAGCGAGCCGTCGGCCGGCGAGCGCGAAGAGGAGGGGCGGAGCGGCGCCACACCGCCCCGCAGCGTTCGCTCGAAAAAAACCAAACGCGGCCTTTACATACCTCCGGCCACTTAAATCGCGGTCTCCAGAAACGTCCGCGGGGCTACGTTTTCAGAATGAGCTTGGGTTGCAGCAACCACGTGCTCAGCCAAGGGATCTTCTTCACATCACACAGACAGAAGTACCCACTTTCTGCCTACATCTGAACTAGTGTGAACTAAATGCAAACTTTAAGAGACAATAGAAGGGTGAATTTGATTATGTTTGGTTTGCTTGGTTTGCTCTTACAAGCTCAGAGTTTTTCCCATCATTACATTCTCTCAACCTCTTACTTTACCTTCTTTACTCTTCTCTACACTTGTATGAATGTGTGTTTGTGTTAGGTGTTAGTTTCTGTTAGATTAGTCAATAAAGTTTAATTTTGTATAAAGAAAGGTGCCTGTGTATATTTATGAATCTAATGTCTTAAACTTGGATCTTGTTACCCTGATCAAACATAATGGGCTTTTATTTTGATAGCAATAGCCATAATAAACTCGACTGTCCACTCGAACGATTGCTGGAAGATTCATTTTTTCGGATCTAAAGAGTCGATTCATTTGAAGCCCCGTTCAAATGAATCTTCCTCCCGCTAAACTAATCTGCTATATATAATGGTGCACAAGATAAGCGAGCACTGTAATCTAGATCATAACTCGCTACATAATAGTGGTGGAAAAGGTGCGGGAAGAATAACCTTGAGCAAATTTGTTACAGTAATAATGGTGTAGATATGCGAGCACTTTAATCTACATTATAATTTGTTACAAATTATTAATGTAGATATGCGTGCAAATTTAATTTAAATTATAATTTGTTACACAAGTCATTGTGTAACAGTGGTTTGTTCTGTCGACAATAAAAACATATAGCTTAAGCAGGCTAATAATATTGAACTTAAAATGGCTTAAATTAAAAACTGCTTTATTCTAGCCCAAAATTAAACAAATAAGACTTTCGCCAGAAGGAAAAACTATATAGGATATACTGTGAAAATTTCCTTGCTCTGTTAAACATCATTTGGGAAATATTTGAAAAAGAATTCACAGGAGGGCGATTAGTTTTGACTTTGTCAGTAGATGTGTGTAATGGCTCACAGTGAGGTAGATGTATCCCAGTGTAGAGATGATACCGCAGAAGAAGCCTACGATCAAAGAGCCGTACGGCATCAGCATGAACTCTGCTGCGGTGCCCACGGCCACGCCACCCGCCAGGGTAGAGTTCTGAATGTGCACCTAAAGACAAACACAAACACAACACTTTAAAGTGCTTCAAATCACATGGAAGGGCATCTGCTGGGTAAAATATATGCTGGATAAGTTGATGGTTCATTCCACTGAGGCGACCCCTGATTAATAAAGGGACCAAGCTGAAGGAAAATTAACCCATACACACTCATTCACACACATACACTGTGGCCAATTTAGTTGATTCAATTCACCTACAGTGCATGTGTTTGGACTGTGAGGGGAAATCAGAGCACCAGGAGGAAACCCATGTCAACACGGGGAGTACTTGCAAAATCCACACATAAATAAAAACAAACTAAAAGAAAAAACAATGTTTTTCAGAAAAAGAAATATAGGAAATTCGGAGAAAATGTCCTGCTGTTAAACATCAATGGAAAATCTTTTTAATAAAGAACAAAAATGTCAGAGGAGGACTAATACATTAGCTCTCTATTTATTATATATTTCATAATGTTTATATAGGCGGCGGGGTGGCGCTGTGGCTAACGAAGTCGCCTCACACCTATGAGTGTGAATGAGAGTGTATGGGTGTTTCCCAGAGATGGGTTGCAGCTGGAAAAACATAAGCTGGATAAGTCGGCGGTTTATTCCGCTGTGTCAACCCCAGATTAATAAAGGGACCAAGTCGAAAAGAAAATGAATGAATGAATGTTTATAAAAATATTTTTTAAAATATAAATGTTTAAGTTAAATATTTTAACACCAAAGTTTTGTTTCTCTAGAAACGGAGATATATCAGCTTAACAGTAATTATATAATTAATAATATAACTTTACTTTAAAATATGAATCAAAACATTATTATATCCACATTATAAAAAACACCTTTTTATTATTCCAATATATAAACAATGATAATTGTAACTATTAAAAATATTTTTTCACTTTTTTACAGCTATGTCATTTTTTGCATGCACACACACACACACATACGCACGCATAAGCACATTTTAAATACTGTATATGATGTATATTTTATACACCATACATATATAGTATATATATTATATTATATATGATATATAATATATATACCATATATATATTATATATACAATTTCTATACCATGCACAACTAGGCATTTATAGCATCTGCTCACCATGTCTAGTTTTCCGGTTTTCTCAAACATGCTGGAAATAGCCACAGTAGTGAGGACGGTGGAGGCGAGGGCCAGGTATGTGTTTATGGCGGCTCTGTGCTGACCGTCTCCATGATTACAAATAGCAGAGTTAAAACTCGGCCAAAACATCCACAGGAAAAGTGTTCCTGAAAAAACAACAACAACAACCCAGTCTATGAGTCTTACATCAACCATATCAAGCATAGTGTTAACATGGACAACAGAATTCTGATATTATTCACACCATTAAGATAACACACTTATATTTTTGATGCAATGAATCTGGCTACAGTCATACACGATGTCAACACAAATCAAATGAACATGTTTGTCTGTTTTGGTCTCATTATTGGAGTGCTGTATAGACATGTCCACACCTTAATTAATCACATTATTACTGTTATGTTGGACTTTTCTATTCATTTAGCAACAAGATAAACACTGTAGAGCTTGAAAGTTTGTTTGTAATGGCTTTATTCTTACCGATCATGGCGAATACGTCCGAGTGGTAGACGGACCCGTTCATATGGTTGCTTTTATTCAGATTGGGCCGATATAAAACCCTTGAGATGGAGAGACCATAGTAAGCTCCAAAAGTATGGATGACCATAGAGCCGCCAGCGTCTTTGGCCTGTAAGAGAGTGAAGAAGGTAGCATGAAGCCTTTAGAGTCAAGTTCAGCTGTATGTTATTGTACTCTAACATTTTATTTCAGACATTTAATAACAGTTTTTTTTTTCATTATGTTTACCTTGAAGTACTTAAGGTATTTTAAATAAATAATAAATAAAAAGTAATTATGACTCAAAAAGTATATACTTTAGAATATATATATATATATATATATATATATATATATATATATATATATATATATATATATATATATATATATATATATATATATATATATATATACACACACACACACACATTTATTATAAACCATATTAAAATATTGTTACAAATATAAAATAAACAATTATTAAAAAAATGTATATACTATTTTAATTATACTAAAATACAATAGAAATATTAAAATAAATATATATATACTTTTATGTATTTATTTATATTTTTATTATTAATATTTAATAATTATAATTAATTTAAAAAAGGAAATACATACATATATATATAAACATAAATAATGTATTTACCATGTATTTTATAGTTGGTTAACATTTCAAATCCTTTCTTAGAAAGCAGAATACAACTTGTCAGCTATAAAAGTGCATTTAAGACAATAAAGTTTGAACTTTGTTATATTCTCATTGACAAACACACAACTATGATACTAAAATATTGTGCATACACACATAAACATGCACAAAAAATAATTACACAACTAATTTACCAAACTTCAAACTTGAAATGTAATTGCTGATCTCAACAATAAAACAAACATTAAAACTACAACTGTTTCCTAAACATATTAAAATACACTCATATTAGAAAATCTTTTGAAAGGAGAATGTAATTTAGCGACTATAGATATGCACTTAAGTTACTGCAAAATATTTTTAAAATGGCCATAGTGAAAGCGAGATCAGACTCACGTTGAGGACACTTAAGATGATGAACTCCTCCACAGCATACAGCGTGATCCCAAACAGTGTCATGACCAGCAGCTGAACCGGACTGACCTTCCCCAGCACCGCACCGTATGCGATTAGACAACTGGCCACACAGAAATCTGCATTGATCAATCTGAACACAGAGTAAACAGTCATGACAGAATTTTCATTTACGATTTTATTAAAGCTCAAAATTGACTTTAAAGTCTCATGATAGTCATATTATACCATGTTTCACATGCATGAAATAATTTGTGATCAGAATCAGATAATTACACACTATAAAGCCTTTTATAAGAAAAAACATTATGAGTCAAGAGTGTCTGAATTCATAAAGTATACAAAATACAGACAGTAGACAAGTACACATATGAAATTATACTTACAAAAACTTTTCTGAAAAGTTTTAATTTATTATTTTTATTCATACTTTTTTACAATCCCAACAAAATACCATGAGAGTTCAATGCTTAGACTTCAACTGCTACTGTGAAAACAGCTACAGTACTTCTGATTTTCCACAAGCGCCTCCTGCTGGCAGAGTAGTTTTGCATTTAAAACACATTGAGTTTTTTCCACAAACTTCAACAGAGTGTAAAAATCTTGATGGTTCTGTGGCTCTTGTCTATCAAATCTGAGCTTTGTTTTGTATTTTCTATTGTATTCAAGTCAGGTGATTGGCTGGGTCATTCTACAGCTTGATTTTCTTTCTCTGAAAGCATTTGAGAGTTTGCTTGGCTGTGTTTGGGATCACTGTCTTGTAAAATGTCCCTAGATTCATGTTCATAATTGTGATAATATAGATGTTGGACTAAGGCAGCTAATATTATTTTACACTGACGAAGGGCAGAGGGTTGCTGAAGAACTACTGTGAGATTTCAGCTGCTGTCTGGGCATTCACTGACTGTCTACATCTTCCTTTCTTCATGTGTTCAATATTTTTTTTCCTGTGTCATTTTTTTTGCTACACATAACTTCATTTGTAAACTAGTTAGTTTTTTTTCATATATGGATTTCTTTGGTTGTTACCAACATTCAGTGTAAATTTTAAGTCAACAGCACCTTTAGAAACATGTTTTCTGAAAAAAATGGTGACGTCTTCAATATTTATTTCCCTCACTGTAATGTTTGCTGACCCACTTTAGCTCCTAGTTTCACCGAATACGGTTATGTATTAATGCATCTCTTACCAGCATTCAAGTCAAGACTATTAAATCCCACTTCAGTAGTGCCACCACTGTGGAGTAAATATGACACAATTTAGAAATAACTGTACGCAAATTACAGTGAAGTGTTGGTTTATAATTACGCCCAAGTTCAAGTCTTTCGTAGAAAGTAGCAAAGAATACAAACAGTTCTGATTACAATATAAACAGTAGTGCCTACATCCTGCATCTGATCTTGTAGATCATTAACACTGCTGTTCTAATCACTGTTTAAATGCAAAACAAATCTTAAAACTTAATTCCCACAAGGAAACAACACTTTAGGTCACCAACAAACTAGTTTGGCTTACATTTGTCCTCTTTTGTAACAGTAAGTTCCTATTCAAAAGTGAAACTATAAAAAAGTCACTGTGAGAAATCCAATCTTTCAAAATGTCATGTTTAATTCATTGTGTAACTGGCAGGTTTTTATATGGAACTTATTATGCAAAAATCCCTTTTATAAGCAGTTTAAACATCAATTTTGTAATAAATAATTGTATATTTTATAATCAAACTTCATAAAAAAAAGTCTAGAAAAGTAAAGTCTAGATAGGATACAGCTGCGGATACGCACATTAATATAGCATAATTATAGCATAATATGGAGGGGGGGGGGGGTGGGGGGGTGGGCAAACATTAAAAAATACAATTACCAGGATATCAAATAAGTAATATAAATAATTATCATTAACTTCTGCCCACAACCATATCTGATCTAACAGCAACCTAAAACAGTATATAGAAACACTTTGATTGACATTCCCCCTTTGTACTTATCATCATAGGGGAGGGGGAGCAGTGTAAATGAATCTGGATGTAAAATACATTTGTGGCCACTATTTTAGACTCCTTTGTAACTTTAGTTAGGTACATAATGAAAAGCAACCTACTTCTCAATACCGATCTTGATCTTTCCATCATCGCCCAATGGACTGAACCAGCCCTGCATCAGAAGAGCCCACTGGAGGCCGAAAGCTGCGATCAGGAAGTTGAATCCGACAGCACCAAAACTGTAGCGCTTCAGGAAGGTCATGAGGAACCCAAAGCCCACGAAGATCATGACATGAACATCCTGAAAACCTGCAGCAAAAAAAAAAAAAAACACACAATTCAGTCATTTAAAACAATAGTGAAGATCACAAGAAATCTGAAATTATCAGAAAGTACTTAGAATTAAAAAAAGGGTATAATATAATAATAATAATAAATATAATAATAATAATAATAATAAAACATAGTGCATGAAGACTAAATATTAATTCATGAAAACGATATCTATTAAGAAGGATATCTTTAAACCAAATAATTCTTGCAAAAGACCCACAACTATCCCTGAAATATTTATTTTCACTTTTCTCAAAATTAAAAATTAATATGTTAAATTAGTAGTCAAGAAACATTCCTACTATTTTTGGTTAAAACACAACAAGTTCTAGAGCACAAAACACCCCAAAAAACATACTATTTTTGACCTATATAGAGCAAAAATACACCCACTGCCGTCCTACATAGTACAAAATGCCCAAAAAACAAGAAAATTGTCATCCTATACAAAACAAATGCCAACGAAACTACAAACCAAACTGATTGTTGTAATATAGGGTAAAATCCTTTCAAATATTTAACTGATTTTTGTATTATACAGAGCAAAAGCCAAACACATATATAGTCACAAACAATTTATGGTAGTAAAACCAGCCTTTTATGTACAGTATATCTAAATTTTCACCTTAAAAGGTACATTGATTTCATGTATAGTATAAAAGCCAAAATCTCTTATTCTATATAGTACAAAAATCTATATAGTATATAGTACTATATAGTACAAAAACCAAACCAAATGTCAGCCTATAGTGCAAAAAACACTGCCAAAGTTGTCATAATATAGAGCAAAACATACCCCAAAAGGAAATTGTTGTCTAATATATAGCAAAAACAAGCAAACGAAATGCAAAAACAATTTCCTACCCCCCAAAACCAAATTTTCATTCTCTTCATAGCACAAAAAATACAGCAAGCAAATTGCCATCATATATAGAGCAAAAAACTATATAAAGCAAAACACCCTAAAACAACTGTTCCAATGAAATAGTAATCATTCATTTATTCATTTTCTTTTCGGCTTAGTCCCGTTAATAATCCGGGGTCGCCACAGCGAAATGAACCATCAACTTATGCAGCATATGTTTTACGCAGCGGATGCCCTTCCAGCTGCAACCCAACACTGGGAAACACCCATACACACTTGCATTCATGCACTTACACTACGACCAATTGAGTTTATTCAATTCCCATGCGAACACAGGGAGAACATGCAAACTTCACACAGAAATTCCATCTGACCCAGCCGAGGCTTGAACCAGTGACCTTCTTGCTGTGAGGTGATCGTGCTACCCACTACACCTGAAATAGTAATAGTGCTATTAAAAAATACCCCCTAAATTTTCATAATTTTTAATCTTAGATTTTAACCAGGAGATTTTAACCAAGACGTAAGAATTGCACCAAAATGTACTAGAAATATCTTGTTACATAACCCTGTCTGTACTCTAATGCCATAATGTAATCTGAACCTATGAGTGACATACGGTAACACGGGTCAATGGAGCAGCTAGCGTGAGATGAAAAGTAACAACACCAACACATCAGTTTCTTTGAAGAGGGCTTTGCTGCACGATTTCTTCCACGCTGAAATGTACAATACAGGCACAAGGACATCTGGATGCTGGCGACACCACAAACCACAGCTCAAGACAACAACATAATGAGCAATACTTTGAGAACAAGCCCTTATTTGCACAGAGAACTATCTTGCTGGATATCATCAGTATGAAATCTATTCCAGAAATTAACAAGCCTCTGTTTCCCATTGGTTGTCCTTTGTTTTGGTATAGTGTGATGCTTCACCTTGAAATGCTGATGATGAAGAACTCCAGGATTCAGTCTAGTAATAAAAAAACAACAAACTGACTTGATCCATTACAAGTTGTCTGGAATCTATACACAAAGGACTTTTTCTGTGTACAAAACCACTGCAAAACCAAACCAACTCTTATACTTTATAGTGCTTATACTTATACTTTATAGTGCAAAATCCTCTGGAAATTGATATATACACTTGAAGTCAGAATTATTAGCCCCCCAGTCTTATTTGTTTTATTTTAGCTAAAATAAAAGCAGTTTTTAATTTTTTAAAAACATTTTAAGGACAGAATTATTAGCCCCTTTAAGCTATATTTTTTTCTGTCTACAGAAAAATTTAGTCTACAGAACAAACCATCATTATACAATAACTTGCCTAATTACCCTAACCTGTCTAGTTAACCTAATTAACCTTGTTAAGCCTTTAAATGTCACTTTAAGCTGTATAGAAGTGTCTTGAAAAATATCTAGTAAAATATTATTTACTGTCATCATGACAAAGATATAATAAATCAGTTATTAGAGATGAGTCATTAAAACAATTATGTTAAGAAATGTGTTGGAAAAAATCTTCTCTGCGTTAAACTGAAATTGGGGGAAAAACATGGGGATGAATAATTCAGGGAGGCTAATAACTCTGACTTCAACTGTATATAACAAAAAAATCAAGCAAACTGTCATCCTATATGCATAAAAAAATAATGTCATTTTATTCAGAGCAAAACCTTCCAAAACAGAAAAACTAGGACATTTTTGTGTGATGCTTCACCTTGAAATACTACTGATGATGAATCAGTCTAAAGATAAAAAAAAATTGCCTGGAATCATTACAAATGGTCTGAAATCTGTATAAATACACAAAAAACATTTTTTTGTGGCAAGTTAATTTCTATGTACAAAAACATTGCAAAACCAAACCAACTGTCATTCTATATAGAGCAAAAAACATCAAGATATTGAGATATACTGTATAGCAAAAAACAAGCAAACATCATCCAAACAGCATCATCCAATACAGATCAAAAAGATACAAAATGAAATACATTTATGGCACAACCATCTCTAGGATTTACAGAGAATGGTTAAAAAAAAAGAAAATATCTAGTGAGCGGCAGTTCTGTGGGCGCAAATGCCTTGTTAATGCCAGAGGTCAGAGGAGTATGGCCAGACTGGTTCCAGATGATAGAAAGGCAACTCAAATAACCACTCGTTACAACCGAGTTCTGCAGAAGAGCATCTCTAAACGCACAACACGTCCAACCTTGAGGCGGATGGGCTACAGCAGCAGAAGACCCCACTGGGAGCCACTCCTGTCAGCTATAAGAACAGGAAACCTAGGCTACAATTCTCACAGGCACACCAAAATTGGACAATGGAAGATTGGAGAAATGTTGCCTGGTCTGATGAGTCTCGATTTCTGCTGCAACATTTGTAGGATAGGGTCAGAATTTGCATCAACAACATGAAAGCATGGATCCATTCTGCCTTCTATCAATAGTTTAGGCTGCTGCTGGTGGTGTAATGGTGTGGGGGAGATTTTCTTGGTACACTTTGGGCCCATTAGTAACAATTGAGCATTGTGTCAATGCCACAGCCTACCTGAGTATTGTTGCTGACCATGTTCATCCCTTTATCACCACAGTGTACCCATCTTTTGATGGCTACTTGCAGCAGAATAATCCACCACATAATAAAGCGTGAATCATCTCAGACTGGTTTTTTGAACATGACAATGAGTTCACTGTACTCAAATGGCCTCCACAGTCACCAGATCTCAATCCAATAGAGCAACTTTGGGATGTGGTGGAACGAGAGATTAAGATCATGTGCAGCCGAAAAATCTGCTGCAAGTGATGCTATCATGTCAATATGGACCAAAATCTCTGAGGAATATTTCCAGTACCTTGTTGATTGCATGCCATGAAGGATTAAGGCAGTTCTGAAGGCAAAACTTGGTCCAAACCCGGTACTAGTAAGGTGTACCTAATAAAGTGGCCAATAAGTGTGTGTATGTGTATATAAACTAAAACTAGGACATGTATGATGCTTCATCTTGAAATATTTCCAAACTGATGATGAAGAACTCCAAGAATAAGTGCAATGATTAAACAAACTGCCTGGATATATTACAAGGTGTCTGGAATCTGTATTTATACACAGAGAACATTCTTTGTGGCAAGTAACACAGATATAATTCTTTTCAGGCACAATAAGCAGTATCAGATGTCACACCGCTAACTAACACTGCTTTTGCGCTACATCAAGCATATCATCGCGTGATAACATCGAGCACCCAGTGCTTGCGCTAGGAGATCAGACTGTCAGGACTACCAGAAAATGAACTCCTCCATCAGATTTATATTACATCTCAATGACATCCGATCAGTCTGCAAACAACACACAGAGTTCATATCCAGGCCTGGAAATGCCCATATCTGACAATATCTGACCAGATGATTGATACACACCGGAGGAATGCCAAACTCAATATGAAATGAATGAAAAGATGAGAATGGATACTGATCCTCGCATAATCAAACAGCAATGAAACCCTCTACTTACTACTGTACCACCTGTCAGACACACACACACACACACATAAGCAATAAAAGGGTAAAAATGATGGCCCCGTGTGTATAAGAAGGAATGCATGTTCTCAATGGCAAGAGAAAAGCTCTCAGATGCGGCAACTGATAAACCATAACATGACAGGCAATGATCGATGATGCATTTGTACATTCTCAGAAATAAAGGTACAAAAGCTGACCCTGATGCTTTACAAAAGACACATTTTGTACATTTACATTTAGTCATTTAGCTTTTATCCAAAGCGACTTACAAATGAGGACAAGGAAGCAATTTACACAACTAAAAGAGCAACAATGAATAAGTGCTGTAGGCACTAAGCAAAGCATTGATAATGTAAGTTTTTTTTTTTTTTTTTTTTGAGTACAGTTAGCGGTGGAGGGGAGAGGCAATTGCAGATTAGGAAGGGAAGTGGAGACTAAATAGTTTTTAGTCGTTTCTTGAAGACAGTACAGACTTACTACTTTAAATCTACGCATTAGTACCTATAAGGTAGACTTTTCACATCTGTTCATTTAAGGTACTATAAGATACACATTTGTAATTTTAAGTATTAATATATACCTTTAAGGACCTGAAAGGAACAAAAAGTACCTTTTGAAAAGATTCAGCCTCAGTGACAGATTTTGTACCTCTATTTCTGAGAGTGTACTCTAAAAGACAGACAGATTAGTAATATCAAATATCGAATATAACATGACTATATACCAACAATTTAATTTAATTAATTTGTAGGTAATTAAAATAATGGGCTTGGCCTATATGTATACACACAAATATAATTTTTAGAACATTTAAAAAATAACAATTATACCATGTCGAATAATAAAGCAGACTTAAAACACATAATTACTGTCTAATAAATTTTCTAGAACATTTAAATATGAACAATTATAGGAAATTGACTAATAAAGCACCCGAAAACAGGATTAAAACAAATAATTACTGAATAATAAATGTTATAGAACATTAATTTTCACAATTATAAGATATTGAGTAATAAAGCACAAAACAACAGACTTGAAACCCATAATTACTGTATAATAAATGTTGAAGAACATTTAATATTAACAATTATAAGATATTGACTAATAAAGCACCAAATATTTAAAAAAAATAATCACTATATGATAAAATAAATTAAATATTGATAATTATGCCTTATTGAGTAATAAAGCACCGACAAACTGATTTGAAATTACTGTCTAATAAATGTTATAGAACATTTAATTAATAACAATTATACCATATTGAGTAATAAAGCAGACTTAAACAAATAATAACTGTGCAATTACTTTTCTAGAATATTTAAATACTAACAATTAGTATATTGAATAATAAAGCACCAAAAAAACTTTTTTTTAACAAAATATTTATTGTACAATGAATTTTCCAGAACATTTAAAATTGAACAATTATAAGATATTAAGTAATAAAGCAGCAGAAAAACAGACTTGAAACACATAATTGCGGTCTAATAAATTTTCTAGAACACTTAAATATTAACAATTATAAGATATTAAATAATAAAGTACCAAAAAACAAACTGAAACACATAATTGCTGTCTAATTAATTTTCTAAAACATTAAAAAATAATTAAATTATGTCTAAAATAAACTAATAAAAATGTAAAAATAATCTTGTAATGTGCAATGATAAATTTTAGGATATAGATTTCTATAGATGTAGATTTAGTATAGATGATATTATGGCAACATAATAATAAATTATCGCAAAGAATTCAATGAACATTTTATTTAATAGCATTATACAAAAATTAATAATAGAAGTATAAATCTTTAGACAACATCTCTAGAAGACAGATTGATAATATAACATACATTATACCACAATATTACATGTATGATAAAAAAAGTGATACATTTATGAATATTCAACAGAAAATTAGATACTACCACCAAACATTTGGCATATTTAATTTGTATACATCTCAAATAATGAAGAAATTTTATATTTGAATGTCTACATGTTTTCTAGAACTTTTAAATAAGAATTACGCAATATTAAAAACAAAGAAGAAATTTAAATTAACTTTTAAATAGACAATAAACATGAGGAGATGATAAATGACTAAAGCAATATATTATGTAAGAAAACATGCAAGGAATATTGTTCTTTACTGTAAGTAATCATAAAACGTGCAATATTAATACTATCATTCAAAAACAATAGTAATAATAGTCATAACAAATGATGTACTTACTTGGATATCTGAAGTAGAAGTCGTTCTCTATATCACTTGTTATATTTTTTTCCTTTTTCGTGTAAACCCAGTTAGTGTCTGCCTCCTCGTTATACCGCACAAACACTCCGAAAAGTATGATCATGGACACCTGCCAGACGAAGCACACCGCGGGTAAACTGAGTCTGATGTTGGTGTTTTTTGGCCGGTCGCAGATGCCCCTGGAGCCGAAGCAGTTGCCCATGTCTACAGCTTGAGCTGATGATGTCAGATGATGCTGCTGGAGCTGTGAACGCGCATCTGGGGCACTTTTAAAAGCAGCGGGAGCGCGGAGGTGTGTCTGCATCACCAATCCTCGCCCACTCGAAGCCCTGAGGAAATAATAAAAAAAATCACTTTCAAGAAGTGCCACAAACTTTCAAGGGCATAGAAGCGAATGCTGGGTCCACATCACATGGAGTCCACACGACACAAAACCTCACCGAACACCCATTATTATTTTCATTATTATTAATAGGGCTATATCAATTTTCATCAGTTTCACGGTATATTTTTGAAATGTTTTATTAGAACTAAACACCTTTAACTAAAACTCTAAATATGTAGGCTAAATTCATTCATTCGTTCGTTTTCTTTTCGGCTTAGTATAGTAAGGGGTCGTCACCTGGGAATGAACCTTCAACTTATCCAGCATATGTTTCACGAAGAAGATGCCCTACCAGCCGCAACCCAACACCGGGAAACACCTATACACTCTTGCATTCATACACATATAGGCTACGACTACTAATTTACGGCCATTTAGCTTATTCAATTCACCTGTGCTGCATGCACGCGGAGGAAACCCACGCCAACACGGGGAGAACATGCAAACTTCCGAGAGAAATGCCAGGTGACCCAGCTGAGGCTCGAACCAGCGACCTGTGATGCGATCGCGCTACTGCTACTCAGTGCACCACCGTAATTTAAAAGTCAATAATTAAATTAACAACCAAAAATACCTGGATATAATGATTTCACTAACGCGACATGCAGAGAAATCTCGCCTGACGACGGATAAATTCTCTCGGGTAAAACCGTCACATTTTCAAATTTTCATCGTCTACTTTTTAGCAATAGACCGTTCTAATTTTGCAATACAAGATCAAACCATTTTCTTTTTAATGGGGGTCAATATTCCCCAGGCACAGACAAATCATGAACGTTCCACCTTTTTACAGTTTTAAAATTGAATATTGCGATTATTATTCCTTTACTGGAAATGTGTTTTGTATTATAGATCTAGGCTATAGTATAATTGGCTAACTTTTGTTTAGAGAGAAAAAAACACGTTTTCTGCCACACATGCATTTACACTACAATATTCTACTAATTTGAGCGGGAAATTATTTGTTTGGCTACAAAACTAACAGCAAGCCTCAGATCCATGTTTGCTGGTTCTTTTTACTCAAAAAAAAAAAAAAAAACTTTTTGCAGCTATACGCCTAATTTTTTATTTAATACCGAACTTTAAATACTTCATTTTAAGCACTATTTTGAATTAGTTTTTCGGATGGTCGTCACACTTGACTATTTTAGCCAAAATAATATTCAAATCAACTTTAATATGGGCTGCTTTAGTGCGTCACACCTTTTCATTGCTCATTTTAAAATATCTCCAAGATTTAGAATAAAAGTTACTTGTGAAATGTTTTCTCAACAATACAGTGGCCAAAGTATGTTTTCTTTCACAGCTAACTATTGGACTAAAATAATTGTTAGCATAGGCCAAACTGATAAGCTGAAGTCACACAGCCAACAGAGGATTCTGCTTGGTCTTAAAGCCTTTTTGATGAGTTATTTTCACCATGATGACACAGTAAAATAGCACAAATGAGCTCATGTTCGGAACAAATTCTCAGTGAGTGGTGGGTCTTTCGAACCATCCAAACCCCCCCCCCCCCCCCCCCGGTTATATGGGCCTGAGCCTACTACTTCTTCCTGATTTTCATGAAAGGGCAAGACCTATTCAACAATTCATTAATTTTCTTTCCGGCATAGTGCCTTTATTAATTTGGGGTCACCACAGCGGAATGAACCGCCACTTACTTAAACACTTTAAAATCATTTATAATTTGTAAAATAATTATTCTTTTCTAAAAATACAATTCTGACTATATTTTTGATAACTAGCTATTATAAATGTTTGATTAACTTGGCCTATTATCAAACTATTTTAACTTAGCATTCTGCGAGTAATAGCAAATGTTACGAATTAAATGATTTCAACAACAACCGATAAACTTTTAAAGACATACCTGTTGTCAGCTCCATTTTGTTTGCATTAATTATAAAATAACAGTTTTAAATGCTGAAAAACTACAGTACCCATAATGCTGTGCAGAAAAATCCACCCACCACCAAAGTCAGAATTATGCAAATTACTTCATGCCTTCATCATTTTGCCCAGTTTTCATATACTTTAAGTTTTGATTTAACCCTGGTTGGTTTGATTCCTACCACTTTAATGAACCTACATACAAAAAATGTATAAGAAACATATTCTGAATGTTATGCAGCACTCTTATTAGTCTGCAGAGGGTTTTAATCTTTAAGCAGTTTTGTCAGCTACATAATGCACACGATTGTGCTACGCTTTTTAATCTTTCTCCTTCTCCAGGCACTGACATCATTCAGTTGAACTTGTTACTGATTTATCTGACACAAAATAGGCTTGTATGCATGAACTAGACCATTAATTTTCAGTGTTCCCCATTGTAATTGTGAATACTTTCACATGGTTATAATTCCAGCAGCCCATATTATTTTAAGAAAGGGACACAACGGACTATTTCTTATCTCCATTGACTATTTGACATTGTATCCACACAGCACAGTTAATGACCTTGTATACACCCGTGTTAAAGTCCTCAAATCAGTATTATAAACTAGCTCCAAAATAATGCACTGCATTGTATTAAAAATAATACAGAATTTAAATCAAGTTATCAAATAACATCACCTTTTTTCATGGTATTACCTAAATTTACATCAATTTTCATTTTTACAACATTGTAAAAAGTGATTTGTTAGCTTAAAATAATTGAGAATGTGCATAATTATAAAAATTAAGTTAAGCCAACTGAACAGTTTCAAGTTACTCGTCTTTTTTAAGTAACTACTAGCTTTTTACTGTGTATAATTACTCAAAGCAATCTCACGGCAGTTTGTAATTTTTTGCTTTAGTGGCTAATTGGTATGAATTCGTACGATCTAATACGTACAATTTAGTACGATTTGCTCAACACCCAATGACGGTTGGGGTTAGGGGTGGGGTTAGGTGCCACATCTCCTTTTTAAAATCGTACATTTTCGTACGACTGAACTGGAACGAATTAGCCACTGAACTGACAAAACGCACAATACTTACATTTCCTCGTGAGATCAGGCTGAATTATTCCAATGAAGAGCCCTAAATGATGCTCGCGTTTGCTGTTTGTTCATCATTAAAGCACAGTGTCACTTTAAGATTTATGCCGCCAAAAATTCAGTAACTCCCTAACTGCGTCTGACGATCAAGTTGTCGCGGTCCTAACCTCTGACCACACCCGTTCCACAATGCACCGGCCCCTTACGCCTCCCCCTGCAGGTGGTGGGTCTGCGGGAGGATGGTCACTCGCAAATGAGCCCCAACCCCAGGCCTGGCTCCAGGGTGGGGCCCCGGCTGCACCATACTGGGCAACATCTCGGTTCTTGATGTTCTTGTACTCATAAAGGGTTTTTAAACTGCACTTAGTCTGACCTGTCACCTAAGACCTTTTTGCCTTGGGAGACCCTATCAGGGGCATTAGCCTCCGACAACATAGCACTTAGGATCACTCAGGCACTCAAACCCCTCCACCATGATAAGGTGGCGATTCATGGAGGAGAAAAGGCCTCGGGGAAGACCCAGGACACGCTAGAGGAACTACGTCTCTCGGCTGGCCTGGGAACGCCTTAAGATCCCCCCGGAGGAGCTGAAGGAAGTGTCTGGAGAGAGGGAAGTTTGGGATTCTCTGCTAAGATGGCTGCCCCTGCAATCCGGCCCCGGAAAAGTGGTAGAAAATGAATGAATGAATGCCTAACTGCTTTTTATTGCATTCAAACCAAAAATGAAAACGGAAACATATCTTTTGCACAACCCTTTGGTAATTATATCATCTACAAGAGCAAAAAGGCACTCCGCTGGTTCGGAGGAACATAGGGAGGATCAGCTGTGTTTATATATAATCAACATATACAGTAGTAGAAACCAGGACTATGGAAGTTTTATGTGCAATAATAAAAATATGCGATATGCATTTCTATGCAAAAGGGGTTATAACTATAAAATCATGTAAAATAAATACAAATTAAAAACTACTTGGCCTAAAATGTGAATGTAACTGAAATTAGGCCAAGCTAAAAGCATGAAAAGTATTTAGGTACAGCGGTATCAATAAGAGAGAGTGAGAGGTGATTTGAGTAAAACGTGATTAATTAATATTCGTGATATTGTTGCTGCGATGTATGGTTAGGGTGCCAGAGGTGTGAACAAATCTGCAAACAGCAGAATATTTGCAAACAGGTTTCTGAAGGTATGTTAGTTCTCTGTGAACTTATATACCTTTATTGTCTTTGGAACCAAACTGGGACACAATTTCAGGCCGGAAAATCCCACACCCTCCCAGACCTTTCTTTAATAAATTAATCATCACTGGCTTAGGGATTGACAAAAGGCAAAGGACATTAATCAATTTAAAGAGTGCTACTGTACAGTTTGTCAACCACTTCCTGCTGTATGTATTTCATCTTTGCTCAAGATATTAAAAAGGGCTTGTTTTGAGCTTTGCTGTGGATGATAGAGAAGACCTAAATTCTCAGGCTGGGGCTGTGCAAAATAAGACTTTCACAGTACAGCTCTTCCCTTTTCCATCACCTTGATTTATCTAACATCTTTCACCAGGATCATCAGCCTCATACATAGAATAAAGGAGAGAACAGGTTTTACTGAAAAATTAAAGCAGTCATGTTGATGGAAAAAGGTTTTCCAATCATTTTTTAATCATGCTCTACAAACAGAGCTCTCTCCACACTTGGTGCAACACAACCTTTACCTTTAAGCTACATTCATCCATTTTGCAAACAGTTTCATCCAAAGTGATTTACAAATTATAAACACACTCACCGGCCACTTTATTAGACAGCTAGCAGCTAGCTCTCTGCAACTCTCACATGGTCGCCCACTGAAGCTAAGCAGGGCTGCGCCCGGTCAGTACCTGGATGG